TCAAATTTAACAAAACCTTTATATGCATTTAGACTTAAGTCAAAGTTTATTACAAATATTGATAGATTGCTGTTAATTTAGTTTTAGAACGTTCTAGACAAAATGCTTGTATCAGAAGCTCCAGCGCTCTCGCGAATGATCGCGAGGCGCTATTCTCTATGGGACTCGGAAACGCTCTGCTTCGCTACATTCAAATAACCATAACTTTTAAACAAAAAAATAACATATTTTAAAGATGTTTTTATAAATACTTTAAAGAATATTTGTATTTTTTTAGATTTGTTGATATAGAACAATGTTTTTCAGCAAAATTTTTCTAAAAAAAAATCATAAAAACCTAAAACTGAATTATCTGCATACTAGCAATATTTTTTATGAACTATGACATAAGGCGAAATAGTTTTAAAAATTTTGTCGAATTTTATTTAACCGCTATGGAACAATTTTAATTAAGCAATAATTTAAAATTTTAAATTATCAGATTTAAAAGCTTATTGAATTAAATTTTGATGTTTTAAAAATATTACAAACAAGTAAGTTAAATTGGAAACACCCTTATAATTAATATTTAAAAAAAATTTGTTTGTTTAAAAAGAACAAATAAAAAATATTAAACGTTTTTTCTAAAACATCTTTCACGATGGTATTTTTTTTTCTGCTTCTGCTTTTTAAAATTATATGAAGTGCGTTCCACGAAATATTACAAAAACACTTTACTTTAATATTATAACAAGATATTGCAAGAACGAGGAGTTACTAAGAGGGAGTTATAGCACAGCATAAAATATTTTTATACTGTGGTTATGGGCATGAGAGAGAGAGTGGAAACAACAAAAGAAGAAAAAAAATCAAAAGTACATAGTATTACAAAACAATACTACAACTTAAATGAACGAACACATACGGAAAAACGAGAAGAAAAAAAATACAAAGAAAACAAGTATCGATCATGGCTATTTAAGAAAGAAAATAAAAACTATTTGGACAAAAAAAAATCAAAAACTAATAATAAAAACAATATTTTAACATAGGCCTGGATACATGTCTAAATAGTCTAAAAAACAGAATTCTGGCCAAAAAGTCTCTTTTCTTTAAACCAAACAAAAAACTTTAAAAAAAATCCAAAACTTTTAAACAAAAATTTATATACTACATCGATTAATCCCTATTAAAAAAAATGGTATTGCAATACCATGGTATTAGTTACTTTTGAAGAGAATTTTGATGATGAGTTTTTTAAATGGTTTGATACTTCTTGTGGCACCTCGTTGGAAAGCTCTTTTAAAAAGAAAATTGACTGTGCAATCTTTGTCTCATTTTAATTTGATTGTTATTTTTTAATTAATTTATTTTTTATAAAAATCTAAAGTTATAAACATTTGCCTAAAAATATAAAAACTTATGCAACGTTTACAAACACAGCTAAAAAATCTATTAAATTAAAATGGGATAAAAATTGCACAGACAATTTTCTTTTTAAAAAATTTGGGTTATGTTTCGCTCCTTAAAATAGGTGAACATTTTTCTTTTGACTGGAATGCCCACAAAAAATATCAATCTATATTTTTTGAGTTTAATCCAAATATTTCGACCCATATGAGACACGGATTTTCTTGTATATAACGTCTATTTAAAGAGAGGGCAAAGCATAGTCTGTTTCTAGTGTTAATAAATGTATTTTTCTACCCCACCATTGATAAGCTTTGATTTTATGGCATTTTAGTCACGGGCTGAAGTTAGCAACAGTGGCTTTTGGGCATTTTAGTCACGGGCTGAAGTAAGCTGTATAATAAATTGGAAAAAAGTGAGGTTAAATCCGTTGACAATTGACAGACAGTAAAATTGGCTTTAAATTCTTTTTTCTAGGACCACTATGTAAAAATCACATTTCGTAATGGCATCGTTGCTTACAAAATGAATCTTTTCATTAGCAAAGCAAAACTCGAACGTAAAGTGACATTTCTGTGTATAAAGTGACAGGTCTGTGTGAAAAGAAATTGTCAGCATCGTAATTTTAACTGCTGTCAAACACGTTTTTAGGTTATTTTGTTTTGTATTTGAGATAATACAAAATAAAAGGGTCTTAAAAAAACAATGTATTTAAAAAAAACAATGTATTTCAGAAAAGCTTTCTTCAAGCTCGTGTTAATGCACACTTGGCCTAACGGTCTCGTGAACAACTTAAACACTCGCATGAAAAAGTTGCTTTTAAATACTTGTAGAACAAATAACTATTTTGTGTTCATCGTAGATAAAGTATAGTATACAACTCGTTATATAAACTTCTCTAGACACTCGCTCGCAACCTTCACTCGTAACTAAAATGCCTAACAACGTGAATAATGAACCCCTTATTCACGTTATTAGACATTAGTGTAGCCGATATTAATATTTACTGGGATTTAAACCAATCGGGTTTTAACTTGAGAGAAGGCGACTATAATAAGATTTAAAATTGGTAAAAAGTGAGGTTAACCATCTGGTCAGATTTTATTTATTTATTTATGAAAATCATTTAATTTTCTACTTATTGGAGTAGATAAATTATATATAAATAAAAATCTTGTTATTTATTTCAATACAAATTGAACTGTAGTAAGTATAATTGGCTTCATGAGCATTTTTTTAACTTTACATACCTTTAAATCCGATGTTAAAATGTTAGTTGTTAAGTTACATTATTAATTAAATTAATCACAAAACAATTTCTAATAGTATTTTTAACAAACTTTATATTGACAAAACATTACTCTGAATATTTTTTAATTATATTAATAGAATATGAAATAAAAAAATTCATTTTGATAAATTTGACGTTTGCAAAATAAATTTTAAGTATAAAATTAACTAGGATATACGATTTCCAAGGCATATCTGACTTCAATTTCTGGCAATACTTTCTTTTTTTTACTCCCACCTTTAAAACGCCCATTATTGTACATGTTTCCATGATACTAAGTGATCTTTTAAATACACATTGACAAACTGTGACTTTATGACGTTTTAGTCACGGGCCGAAGTAAGCAGCAGGTTTTTAATCACGGGCTAAACTTATCCTAAGTTAGTGGACAGTTATCAAATGGCAAATAATCATCAAAATAAATTGCTCTTTTTATAAAACAATAGTAAATATGAAAATTATTTTATTATCTCAATTCAAAAATACAAAATTTTTAAAAAGTTTCTTCACGCCAATCTTTGTAAGTTTGTACTGACCTTATAATTTCGCCGGCGTTACACTTGTATTTGCCGCCAAAGTATGAAAAATCGGAGTACCCATAACACATCCTCTTCACTTTCACTGTAAAAATTGCTTCTACATAGGATTTTAACAGTTTATAGTCCATTTAAAGAGATTTATTTTAATCTTTACGAAAAAAAAATTGACAACTAACTTCCATTTTAAAAGCCGGTAAAACAGGTTCACACCTTAGGTAATCTTTTGTATGCCGTTCATTATATTTAAATTAATTAGTAATTAATTTTTTTTATACCTAATAATATTTGTCGTAGAAAAAGTATAGTTTGCAACTTCTTTGTAAACTCACAAGCTCGCTCGTGCCTAATTAAATGGCGTTTATAAAACTTGTACATAATATACTATAACATTCACTTCTAATGTAACATTTGGTGACACGCAAACTAATTATAAATTAATTTTTACTGTAAGTATTAAAATGATAAAGATCAAACACAACGTGTTGGCCATACATATTAGGTAAATTAAAAATAAAACTATCTTGAAAAGTATGAAGGGCAATATATTCAGTATAGAATTGCATTTTAATATTTATAAATTCATAAAATTTACATGATCAGTGTTAAATTCAAATTTTGTTTTAAAGGAGTGCAGAAATTTATTCGCTTAAATAAATTTTATGATTAATTAATTACCTTAAAATAACCATTGATAATTTTCTGATTTAACATTCAAACTTTAATTAAACTAATAATAACAATTATTGTTATATCGCTTACACAAAAGAATTACGAATTCGGAGGGGACTTTAAGCCCACGGTTTGTATCTACCCCTAACCTGAGAAGTAAGGGTTAAACTAATACTCTTGTTTTTAGTATTAGGTATCAAGTTTGCTAAACGCTATTTTAGACACGAACTTAATATAGGCACTAGCGAGCTTGCGAGCGATTACTTAATTAAATAAGTGTCTAGAATAGAATACTTATTTTTATTTAAAAATGATTTAAATTAAATATTTGTATAGAGCGACATCTATAAAACAATAGAGTAACCAACTTGGGAATTTGTATTATGTCAAATGTCAAATTTTTATGTGTAAATCGAAATGTATCCCTGAAAATGGACCGTTTAATCCGATATATACGAGAAGCAGTTTTTCAGTGAAAGTAAAAAAAAATGTTTTGTTGGCACTCCACGGTGGAGACACCACCAGAAATTAAGTTAAATCTAATTTAAAACGAAAGTAAAAGGTCAGTACAATGTTCATATAAACTTTTCAAATATTGGTGTGGAGAATCTATTTAATAATTTAATAATTTTTGTATTGAGGTAATAAAATAATTTTTACACTTAGTATTTATTTTAAGGATTGTATGACATTTGACAACTGTCAACTAACTTACTTAACTTCAGCCCGTGCCTACAAGGCCATAAAGCGATAACTTGGCAATGTGTACTTAACTTAGTGTCATGGAAACATGTACGATAATGGGCGTTTTAAAGGTGGGAGTAGAAAAAATAAATTTGCTCTTTCGAATACCACATCGATTACTTCAAAACTGTTTCTTAAAATCTCAGTGTAAGTTTTTTAACTATAAATAAAATTATTATTTTTATGAATGTTGAGAAATCGCAAAGTAAAAAAAATAGGGTAAAGATTTATTTAACTACAAAGATAGCTCTTTAAGTTTTATAAATCTTGTCATTAAATAAACCTAACATTATATCTAAAAGGCATTTAATTAGCATTAAGCAAACCTATTTAATGTCAGAATTTTAAATCGAAATAAAACACTAGGTATGTCAACAAATGTCTGTTTTACTAACGTTGTGTTTTCCTTTCAATTTCAGGCGGCTGAAAGTGGTAATTTGGAAATTTTCCAACGGCTGTATTTCGCCGATACGACACGACTTACAATCAAAGATCCTCGCGGTAGAACTGCGGCCCATCAAGCAGCCGCACGAAATAGAGTCAACATTTTGCAGTTTATATTATCGCAAGGAGGAGGTAATCTTAATATTATGTTCTAGATTCTAGAACCCTTTTGCATTTTTTTTTTATTAGTTTTTTAATAGAAGCAATTTAATAGTGCGACGTTGTCAAGTTGACAGATCATAGTTAAACGGTGACAAATGACAAGCGACAGAGGACAGGTGACAAGTGACACATGACAGATGGCAGGTGATAAATGACAAATGACACACTCCTTACTATTATCTATATTAATTGCACTATTCCATAATGTTAATAATTTTTTTAATTAGGAGCGTTTTGTGTTTCTGTATGTTGAAATTGTAATAAGTCTTGATTAATTATAAAGCGTATATTCACTAGCTAATGTTATTTACATTGTCTAATAATATTTCTAATGGTTTATAACAATAAATAATCTCCGGTTTTTAAATCATGGTTTAAAATTGGTTCAGCATTCGAACTTGGTTCAGACAAAATATAATCAAAGTTCAAGCTTGAATTTGGTTTAAGCCGAAACAAAAGATAAACCGCCGCGGTTGTTCGTTTAAACCAAGTACCTATAACCTCCAATCACTTGACATAATTTAACATTATTTTGTGATCTGCTGTGCTCATGTGCGATGGGTATGTTTGAAGTAGTAAGGGAGGATAATGAAGAAATTGTCGATCTCCTAAGTAATATTCAAATTCAGACCACGGGTAATATGAACAAAATCAAATCATCTTGCATCCCAGATAGCACCATTCGTCCAATGGACGTCCGTTTAAGATCCATTTTAAGTACATTGGTCTACGGACTAAAAATGGATGTACCATATACGTCCATATATTTACATCCTTTGTACGATTTTAATGAACGTCCATATAGTGTCCATTTTACGTCCATAATTATTATTACGGAAATGTAGTTAAAACGTATTGTTGGCTGCATAACAACAGTTATGATCTATCTCACTGACATTCAAGCAAGCGCGGGCTATAAAGGACTTAAGCCATCAATGAAATGTTAAACACTTGTAGTATTGCAAATGTAATATTCCTGAGTCGAATACAAGGATTTCCTGCAATGTTCAACATTGAATGTTGTAACTTTTAACAACTTTTAGAATATTTATATTCCTAGTGGGATTGTTACTGAGCCAGACAAAAGGCATTTCAGTCATGTTGTAGAAAATTTTCTGCAACATCGCAATGAAAATACAGTCGCAAAAAAACAGTTAAAGTAAGCAAAAAAGCAGGTCCTGGATGCTGGAGGAATGGTTTAAACACCTTATAGACGTCCATCGGTGGACGACTTATGGATGTCCAAAGTTGTGACATCTGGACTCTAAACGGATGTCCATGGGACGTCCATAGAAAAAAATGGACATCCTATGTACAATGTATGTCTGTATGTACATTGTACATACAGACGTCCACGAGCATACGTCCATTGGACCTGTGTGCTATCTGGGATGATGATGATTTTTTCGCCCGATTTCGGTCATTCAAACATTTTGCTCATAGAATAATGAAGTAAATAACATCTGTTATTGGAAATCTGACCAATGGGTTGGTTTTATAAATAATTATCAAATAATAAATATTTCAATTTTGGAAACAATGCTATTTCTGCTGAAAAAATTGTTTATGATTGATTGTTGATGGTTTTGATCGCCCACCACTTGTTGCTCTAGCATAACCTATTCATTACTAATGAATCATTAGTATATTTTTTTGCTTTTTTTTGTGGCATTATTTGCATTAAATTCATTGCAAAGTTTTTCCCACTTGCAATTTTAATTTTTTGTTGAATTAACATACGTTTTTTAATGATTTTTTTCAGCCACTAATGATACCAAAATAGTTTGTTTAAAAATCACTTGTATAAACAAAGGACAAATTCATTTTAAACTATAAAACAAAATACATACCTACAATTTCTCCTCAAAAGAAAAGTTTTCAATCCCCTTTTTATTTTCCATAATGATATTATCATATAAACAGAAAGTTTAACCCTAGAAAACACAATAGGACAAAAACCACAAATAATAAACAAACACTTGAATGAAAAATCTATCATTATGATAGCATAAACAACTATTTATAATAATTAATGTAGGGGTATACAAAATTTAACCAATTACCAAATTAACGTTTATACCGCTGATATAAGTTCAATGGAACTAATGTCATCATATCGTCGCTAAATTTACAAAGTGGCGTATTTAAGATTTGTTTTTGGAATAAACGTTTAGTAATCTTAAAGTTTATTTCAGAAAATATTTTTTTGCCTAACACAAATCTATATATTCACAACTTTGTAAATTTAGGGATAAAAAACTTATTTGACGTAAAATTGAGTTCATCAACTGATGTTACCCTTAGCAAAATTTTATACTATGATTGAAAAACTGGCCTTAAAATTTTTATTTTATACCATTCCGTACTCCAAATACGTGCTAGTACTCAGTAGCTGCCGCGTATATTACAGTCTTCCCCTGGGAATTTAAAAGTTACATATTTAATCTTTTAACGGTTTCCTTTATTTGCGTTTGTGTGATTCTTTCAGTTTTTCTTTATAGCTATTTTCTCCCATCACTTTACATTAAGGGGTAAGCTCCTCTATAATCAGCGAGACAGCGTTTAGCGTTATGCCGACGTTGTGCTCTGATTCGACGCTTATCGATAAGGATCCAATCCTTATTGATAAGAAATATCTCTTATTTACGCATTGCGTATGGCTACCCGTGATTTTTTTCCTAAGACGTCTTAACGTACGTTAATTCTTATGCGATTCTTATTTTTTTTAAATCAGTGGTTTACCACTCAGGATACATAAGGAATATAAAATTTTTTCCTGTACTCGATTTTTGCTGTTCTTTCGATCTAAAAACAGGCTCGTATGGTATGTTCATTATCCAATTCTATATGATATTAAACTTTTTCCAACCTTTGTACAACTGTGCCTTATTTTTATTTCATTGTATTATCGTAGTTCCTGGACAGTATTCTCTCACCTAGGTTATAATATTTTTCAAATTTGGGTTGTATGTTAAAACAGATTATACTCATAAAAACCTGTAAAAGATATAACTATCTTTTTATCTATCATGTTTTTATGAGTCTAATCTGGTTGGTATCGGGTTGTATGTTAAATCAGATTATACTCATAAAAACCTGTAAAAGATATAAATATCTTTTTATCTATCATGTTTTTATGAGTCTAATCTGGTTGGTAAATTACTTGTGAATAGTTTTTTGCAGACGTTTATCTATCTGAATTGTATTTCGTCACGTTTTTGTTGCAGGGTCTTTTTCTTCTATGGTGCACATTTTAGTTTGGTCCAAACCGATGATTTTGTTGACATTGTTAAGGTTTATTTTTACATTTTTTATCGAGTCTCTTCGAAGTAAAGGTTATTCATTTTGATTGATGATGTATAGTTTTTTCTTTAGTTTTGACAATTCAGGGTCTGTGCTCGAGGTATTTCGTATTGTTTCAGCGTCAATGATGTTAGTAAGAAACTAAAGAAAAAACTATACATCATCAATAAAAATAAATAATAATTATTAATTGTTAATTCGTTTATTTTTTTTCTTGTGTTGGAAATCTGGATAGATAGTTAGCGTTGGTGTTCTCTTTAAATTTTGTAATCGAATCCAGATAAAAATTGTGCATAGGTAACGTAAAGTTGTTTAGCTAAAATTATTTCGATTTTTTGTCTGGCTGGAGTATTTGCATCATTGGTTTGTTGTCTCGGTCAATCCTTTCATTTAAAAATAGTTTTTTTATCATTCGATATAATTTGCAAAGTGCCCTTGTATTTCGTCGTATTGTTCAAATTGTAAGTTTTGCGTTTTTATTACTTCTGTTGGAGATCTTTTGTTGCGGTTTTTGTACTTTTTAGGTTCCTTTAAAAAGGCACTTTTCTGTAATTACTTTTACACTTTTTTCCGCCATTCTTCTAAATTATTTCACCTCTTTGCGACGCGTCGCATCAGTGGCGGCTGGTGGATTTTAAGTATACCAATATCTCAGTTATTAGACATGGGACCCACACCAAATTTATAATAGTTTATATTTACACCACTGCTTCGCATAGCTTTTTTAATAGCATAACTTTTTGTAGTCGTAATTATAATTAATTGTAAATAATTATTTAGTTAATTTTAATTTAAAATATCAAAGCCAAAGTTTATCAAAGCAAAATATATACTTTTATCTAAATTGATTTGTTTTGGATAATTATTTACAAAGTAGGTAATATATAATCATAAAATATAGTTAATTTATATGTATTTATACGCATTTAATTATGATTTTTATTAAAACATCAATATTTGTACCTTTTAGATCATCTATCATTAAAAAATATTTATTTAAAATTGATTTATTGCGATTGCGACTAAAACTTTAACACAAAACATTTGTTTGGTGGTTTGGACGCCTTATGCATAACTGGGTCCAATAAGGCTTTATATTATAAAGTAAAGTATAAAGTTTATAATTAAACATTAAACAATTAACAATTAAATCTATTAGACAAATTGTTAGGCTTAATAACAATACATGTTTAACATAAGCATTATTAAAAATAGTAGATTATGTCATAAGGAGTAGAAGTGGCTCTTTTTGTGGTGAGTACAGAGATTGACGGTCGAAGCGTAGCTGAGGCAGGCAACTGTACGAAGCACAAAAAGAGCTTCTATAGAAGGAGTATACTCCAAATAACATATACAATTTTTTTTCAAGGGCGTAATATAAATAGGATAAGCAATAGAATTATTTTATTTACTTATAACTCATGTGGTATAAAATTTTGGCTAAAAGCATTACAAATTATTGATAAAAAGTAAAAAAACTTATAACCCTTACTTACAATGCCGATAAATATCCTAAACCATAGATAACAAAGCCTAAACTAAAAATAAACACTGCTTTGTCAAAATGCTGCGCTTGAATTAATTTTGACGTACTGACATTTGTTTGGAGTTACGACATTTGCGACTCGTCTATCATCATTATATTATACTAATAAACTAGTTGTTCTTTATTTCGTTCAATTAAAATTTAATAAATAATCACTAAATATTCCGTGCGATTATAATTAATATAATTAATACATCGTGATTGCTTTGTATGAAATGCTAAATTAATTTTATTATTTGAGGTCTATTGAGTCACCTATGGATTTACTTCTATCCTTTTTTGAGTTTTTTGTCTGCCGCTAATGAAAAAGACGTACTTCAACTATCTCTATACATGCATATAACGTTGTATATCATGGCCGCTTGAAAAAAAATATCTTTTTCTATAAATGTTTAAAATAACTTTTATCTTTAAGCGTTCTATAATTAAATCTTCATTATTGTCAACGTCAACAAAGTTTAATTGTAAAGAAATTTAAAATAATACAAACATCATTAAAAAAATTAAATTACGCATTTAAATATATTCACCCATAATATAACAAGTGGTATGATTATCATCGATGATATTTTCGAATTGAAACCGAGCTGCAGATTTCACGAGTCCGCAGGACGAGTGAAATGTGATGCTTCGGTTTCAATGAGTAAATATCTTCGATTATAATAATTATTAATCATACCACGAGTTATATTTAGTGAGAAAATACAATGAATTTAAGGTTTTAAAAAATTTTCAGATTGACATTTAAAATTAAAATGTGCTTTAAAATATAAAAAGACTTTAATAAACCTTATTTATTCAAACTTACCTTAATTTCATTATCGTTTACACCAACCCATCGATCTTTTAGAGTTTATAATTCATTATTTTACTGATATATATCAAATACAGAATTTAAATGACAACAAATGTTAAATCAAGAAAAGTGTCAAAATCCTTAGTAACGTGTAAACAAGATGATAAAAAATATTGCCGCTGAGATAAAATGCGTAACTATGGTATGCTGCCATTTTATTACTTCTAATATTAATGAATTGTATTGTCACCCATAATATAACAAGTGGTATGATTATCATCGATGATATTTTTGAATTGAAACCGAGCTGCAGATTTCACGAGTCCGCAGGACGAGTGAAATGTGCTGCTTCGGTTTCAATGAGTAAATATCATCGATAATTATAATTAATCATACCACGAGTTATATTTAGTGAGAAAATATAATGAATTTTAGGATTTAACAAATTGTCAGCTTGACATTTGAAATTAAAATGTGCTTTAAAATATAAAAAGACTTTAAACCTTATTTATTCAAACTTACCTTAATTTTATTATCGTTTACACCAACCCATCGATCTTTTAGAGTTTATAATTCATTATTTTAATCATTTAACAAACACAGTATTTAAATGTCGACAAATGTCAAATCAAGAAAAGTGTCAAAATCCTTAGCAACGTGTAAACAAGGTGATAAAAAATATTGCCGCTGTGATAAAATGCGTAACTATGGAATACTGGCATTTTATTGGTTCTAATTATAATGAATTGTATTGTCAAAAATATATACCGATTTTATCATTGCATATAATATAAAAAAAATATATTGATGTTAATTTATTAAGAATAAATTCCATTGCTTAGCAAAGTTTATAGGTAAATAAATATTTTAATTTAATCTTTTTCGTCTTCATAGATCTAAATGACCAAGATAATTCAGGAAATACCCCTCTTCATATAGCTGTGGAGCATTCGTCATTGGACGCGGTCGATTTTTTACTTAAAACGTAAGTACCTACCTATAATTTAATAACCAATATTTATCTTTTATTTCATTTTTAATTTCAGAGACGTTAGAACAGACATTCTTAATGATAAAAAACAGGCGCCCATCCACCTTGCAACCGAACTTGATAAAGTCATGGTGCTGGAAGTTATGGGTCGATATAAAGAGAAAATTGAGATTCAGCTTGGCGGAGAGCATGGCAGAACGGCTTTACATATTGCGGCAATATACGATCACGAAGAATGCGCCAAAATATTGGTAAGTCATATATAAGTCTCTAAACATTGCTTATTGGTTTTGTGGGAATGTCGCTTAAATTATTGAGGTACATGTGGATTTGCAATCAATCCCTTATAATAAAAAATTAATTGACAATAATTTAGTGACGTGTATACAATACAAGAAAAAAGCATTGCATATCTTGGTAAATAACAAAAATATAATATTTATTTTTTAAGAATATTTTAAAATTACCCACCCATTTTTTATTATATGGGTAATTCTCTCATAATTTTAACTTGAATGTCACGACGCTGTCAAATAATTATTTTTATCCAATGCTGTTAATTATTTTTTTGGAATTAGCTGTCTAGATGAACTAAATTTCCAGACCGGATTTAAAACAAAAATCTTTCCCTTACTATAAAAAAAAAATCCGAAACCCTCGAATTCCTAACCGTCCCCTTGTTCTAAACCTGTTTATTAACTTATCTAGAACCCCTTCAATATGAATAAACTGTTATAATGATAATTTTATTAATGATTTCTATAAAAAAATGTTAAAGTTTTAAGAAAAATACTTGGCGGAATGATATCCTCTAAAACTTTTTTAAATTTCGGCTTCAAAAAGTGTCCTGAAATTATTATTCCTTAACAGTCCCCATACGCATTTAGTGAAAAATAAAATTGAACATACTATCCCAGCAGTAAAATTTGTCTTAATAACGCGGGAATTAGTCAGTTACAGCAATACAAACTAAAAAGAATACGTTTTTTCTCATAAAGTGATTTTGCAGTGCAATAATGAGGTAATTATTTGCTTCCGTATTTTTACCGAACGATAATACACTGTTCAAAATTTCATGACCATTTTAACACCAAATTAACACCATATCTATATCGATACAAACCAAAATGGTGTTAAATAGGGTTCGTTGGTCCGGTGTAAATTCAAATACTAAAATAGTGTTAATTTAACTTTCACACAGTATTAAAATAAATTTTACCTGGTGTAAATTGAACTCCTTTTCAGTGTTAAATATTATGTTTTGTGGTCAAATTAAATCATACTACACAGAAAAAAGGAAAAAAAAAGGAAACAGGAAGGACGCATTACTAGTATATTCCAAAAAATGGAACCTTCAACTCGCTAGATATAATGTTTTTAGTTCGTTTCAGTAACTTAAAATACTTCAGGTATTGACAGCTGTTTCCACCTATTTAAGGTCTAGTATCGAACAACTTGTAGTGTCACACCAAAGCAAAGGACTACCTGAGCTTATATATTCAGCATGTAAGTCAACAGAGGCGCGATTTAAGAACATCACGTGATCCACAAAAAAATAAATACTTATGGGTCAACTAAATTAATATAAATGAACTATTCTTTTTTTTCTGTGTAGGTGCACTTCTCAAATATTTTTAGATAAACACCGTTTTGGTGTTCATTTTTAACCATAATTCATGGTGTTATATTAACACCACTTGGTGTTGAATTTTGACACCATTTTAGGATTACTCTTTACACCACAGATATTTTAAACAGTGTAGACATATTTATTATTTTTGTTTAAAATATGTACGATTTTGTATTAACATTATGTTGTTTAAAATTTATACATAACCTTAATATGAAATTCTGCCATTTACCTACCATTGGTATCAAAAACATCGGACTGGATTGTACTATCAACAGAAAACGACTTTGAATTTATACTATCCTGGGTCCCAGGACACGATGAAATTTACGGCCATGAAATTGCAGATCAGTTTAAACTTTAAACCAGAAATAGGGGATATAATACCGGAAATTAAACAATAACTACAACAAGCATACAACACGAAATGGAAAGAATCATTTGCCAGAACTGGTATGGAAAGATAGTAACAAATTTTCCCAAAAAAACCTTGGTTTTCCACAAACAAAATAAATAACCGAAGACAACTCACAATGATCATGCGCCTACGATTAGGACATTGCCTCACTAATGCACACCTCCACAGATTAGGAATTCTAGAAAATCCATACTGCGAATGTGGCCAGGTGGGCAATCTGTCACACATGATACTAGAATGTCCAATCAATGTCAATAACAACATTTAAGCAACTTGAATAGAAAAAATACAAATAGATTCATAAAATATATGGACCACCACAAAAACTATTTAGTCCAGGAAATAAAGATTGTAGAAGGAAAACTCGATGGTAGTCGGGTTTTAGTTTTTTTTATGAAAAGTCAGGGGTGCTGATAATGAATCAATAATATTCCCCAAAAATTTCTTTCCGCGTCCCCTAATTTCACCTCCCGAAAGGGGAGTTTTTTTGCCGTTTGGCTTATAACTCGCTAACCGTGCATTTTTTCAGAATTTGACCTCCAATACTTTTGAATAAATACTAAATAAGGCACACGTTAAACCCCATTGCACACCTATATAATGTGCCCTTTTGCTACGCGCAGTGTGTAAAGTTGAGCGTTGCTTTCAAAATCACTTTTTTGTTTTTTTTATTATAGCCCAATTTTAAAAGTAATCGATCCCAAACCTTACGGTAATCAAACATAAGCGAATGAACGGTTTTTTGAGGTACTAGACTTTTTTTTAAAGTTACTGCTTTTCAATGTATAGGGGGTATTGTTTCAAAAACCCATGTTTTATTTCCCAAACAGCTTTAATGAGCCAGTTCGTTCTACCCTAGATTTTTAGGTACACTTATCCTCATAACAAATCCTTAGTTTTTTTAAATTATTTTCATTGCAAGTGCCCCACAAAAATTAAAGTTTTGAAAAAAGAACTTCCTGTACAATGAAAAGCAGTAACTCTTGAAAAAAGTCTAGTACCTCAAAAAGTCGTCCATTAGGTTATGTTTGACTGCCGTAAGGTTTGGGATCAATTACTTTTAAAATTGGGCTGTGACAAAAAAGTGATTTTAATAGCAACGCTCAACTTTGCACACTTGCAAAAGGGCGCATCATACAGGTGCGCAATGGGGTTTAACGTGTGCCTTATTTAGTACATAATCAAAAGGATTAGCATTAAATTTATGAAAAAATGCACTGTTAGCGAGTTATGAGCCAAAAATCAAAAAAACTCCCCTTTCGGGGGATGAAATTAGGGGACGCGGAAATAAATTTTTCTGGAATATTCTTGATTCATTATCAGCACCCCTGACTCTACATAAAAAAAAATAAAACCCGACTACCATCGAGTTTTCCTTCTACAATCCTTGTTTTCTGGACTAATTGTAATAATGTTGATTCTTTTTGCAGATCCTATCCTAATAGAAATCCTGGGTTCCTGACCGAGGTAGCATATATCGGGGTGTGAAAGTCGCTTGGCCCTCAAGCCCGAAGAGTTTTTCCTTTATTTGTGATATTTGTACATACTAACTTTATAAAAAACAACTCAAATACACCTTTTACCTGAAAAATAATTAACAAAAGAAACAAGAAGAAAGGAATTTTTTTTTATAGTTAATGAATCAATGGATGAGCCAGCTTAGACGCTCTTAATTGAGGCCCTTGGTCATTGTTGAAGGAAAATAATAATAATGTGCTGGTCAAATAGGTCATACCTTTGAGCACAACCGGTGCTTAGAAATAAGAAGACGAAAACATCGGACTTTTCCAGACCATACCTTTTTTAAACGTACTGGTCGGGATAAGGCAAAAAACTATCTAGTTTTGTACAGCTTAATAAATACAAATATTAAAATATTTATGTGTAAATTGTGGTGCGAAACTGCTTTTACTTATTTTAATTAAAAAGCAAAACTAAAAATTAAGGAAGCCCATAAATTAACTAAAATTAACTGGATATTAAAAAAATGCAGCAAAGATATGCTGAAATTATTTAATTTTTGTATATTTAAGTATAATATTAACTTTTTCAATTAAACAAAATTAATAAAAACAGAATAAATTACTGCTGACGAAATATTGTTTGACGAGGGTGGAATCATAGCAATTACTCCCGATGATAAAAGTTTTCGAGCAAGCCGACAGGCGAGTGAAGGAATTCATTTTTTATAAGGTGTTTTCGCGGTGCTAATCCCGAACTAGTTCGGACATCCTAGGCATGCGCATTTTAATATTTGTAGTTGCAGTTATAAATTATAAGAAAACAGCAAATTTCTGCCCATATTAAAGATTTTTGTCATTTTTGTATTACTAAGGTAAGGGACGGTTAGGAAAAGTACTAGTGCATAAAAAATTAAAATTGTGCTGCGCCATTTAGCTTATCATTCGAAGGCAAGGTCTAGAGTCAAAAAATAGTTTCAACAAGGAAAACTGCCAAATTTTATATTTAAAAATTTTTGGATCTAAATATTAAAATTATGGTAGAATTACCATATGTATTGTATTATACAATATTATAATAAAAATTTATTTAATGACACATTTATAGGTATAGGTACACTTCTAACAATATTGTATCTCAGCGAAATACAGATTCCATTCATTTAAATATAAGCATTATATTTAAAATAAATAGGCAAGCACAATATAGTATTTGGATCCAAATTGAATACAAATGGAGCCAGTTTAAAAAAAATTTTGTGCATTTTTTAAAAATAATTAGTTTACAATATTTAACAAATGTAATAATCCTTAATTCAAATTTCAACAAACAAAGCAAAAACATACTATTTAACTATTAACAAACCTCAAAACGAAAACATCTTTGGCCCTAATTGGATGCATCGGTATTAAATCAATATAATTTAAATTGTGCGTTTGTAAAGTGCCCACACGATGCATTCACATGTGAATGCATCGTGTGGGCACTTTACCTGCAGGTAACCTGTGACAGGTTAACATAAAAAACTAACCTTTCCTAAAATGGCACTGCACACAACTTAAATAATTATAATAAATGTTTAATATATGTGCAGTATTGGCAAGTACTACTGATAAAGCAAAATATAATTAGGTAATATAAAATATAATTTTTTAAAACTTTTTACAATATAAAATATGAATTGTGGTTAAATCTATATAATATAATTTTGTCTTATTCACTCTCCAATTTGGCACTAATCG